TCAGAGCCTGGAAAAAGTCAAAAATCAAAGTGAAACTACCCTCGGAAATCATTTCAAACCTCAGATAAGCTAGTCCCAGACCAGTAGGATCCAGAAAGTCATAGAACACAACCACAAACGACTCACCTTTAATGCACGACCGGTTCTTGTTTGAGACCACCGCTAAATAGACTCCCCGTCGGTGGCTTCAGCTGACCTGACCGCTCTACTTGATGCCGATGGCAACTGAAGCCCACACAGGTCAGCAAACGGGCGAGCTCGTTTGTGATGGTCAGGCATTCGTCCTTTCTATTCATTCTGGGATTTTTAGCGCTAATCCAAAACGCTTCCAAAGTTTTGCGCGCCGAAGTCTGTGGTTCTCGCATCAAAATCCTAACCGTCACCTCAAACTCCGCGCCTCCATGGCGCTGAACCCGATGACTACCCAGGGGGGACTCTTGTCTTGATCGCCTCAGGCTATCTAGGTGTTCCTTCACCCTGGAGCACAGGGTCCAGTCTGTACTCATCCCCACAACTCTTGCATGATATCAGGTAGATCACACCTGATTCCATGCAGTCCCCCTCCCGCCCAGAAGGACATGTCACACAATGTGGGGTCGGGCAGTACCGATCATACCCGCGGTTGCGGATCAGCTGCTGCTTGAGGCTCGCAGGAGGGATCTCGACCAACCGAACCATATTGTCGAGACCACACCTGCGCAAAGACGATCTCACAGCAGCGCTGATTGCATCACTTACGAAGGGTAAGCAAAATGGTACTTTCTCCCAATCCTCGGTCACAGGACTTTGTTGACTCCTAGTGGGTGGTCTAGGGGGGTATTTGCCTTCTGGGGGGTAGCCATTAGAGAGGCTTATTTTCCGAGCTAACTCCAGGGACTCTTCTCTTTCTTTCTCACCTGAAGAGACCATTTTGGCTGTCCTGAACATGTTCCTGTTGATAGCCCGTTTGGTCCCTAGAGGATGCGCCGACCGGAAATGGACTAAGATGTTCTTGCTGGTAGGTTTTCGGTACCACTTGGTCCGATAGAACCCGCCCTCAAGCTGGATCTGCACATTGAGGAATGAGAGCCAACTGTTAGAAGGCTTCTCCCTCGTAAACCGAATGTTCTCAGCTTGGTTATTGAGGAGGTCGAAGCACGAGTCTATTTCCCTCTCTGTGGTGCAGACGATGAGGCAGTCGTCTATGTAGCGTTTGTACAGGATGGGTCGGCGATCCAGTAACGGTTTCTCTATCTTGGACATATAGGCAATCGCTAGGACTGGTGCCAGCCGCTGACCCATGGCCAGACCTCTGAGCTGCCTGTAGTATTGACCGGCCCACCTAAAAATGGAACAATCGAGACACTCTTTAACAAGTGTCATTATGTGAGCTGTCGACAGGCCATACATGTTGATCGACGCCTCATGTTCACTAAGGAGTTCATAGGTGGCCTGCATGGCTCCTTCGTTTGACACGTTTGTGTATAGGGATGTTACGTCAAACGATTCCATCACATGGTTCCGTCTGAAACTGGCCTCCCGCAACGAGTTGAGCAAATGGGCAGTATTACTGAGGTGGGCAGGGATGAATTGCAGCAGCTGCACCAGTACAAGATTCAACAGCCATGAAATCCTGTCGGTGGGACCTCCTACCCCACGTTAGCCAATAAAACTTTTATACCATCTTGGTTACGGCTAAAGCAATACCCTATAAGAATACACAGGCTATAGTTCAGGATAGCCCCCGCAGCGGAATCGTGTCTGAGCCAGCTGACATTCTTAGCAGAGGTGCAGCTTCGTCGGAAGAATCCCATCAGAAGTATCGCTGGTCACGGGGAGGGATTAGTTGAGCAAAACTATTTCCGAGCGGCAAGGTCTCATCTACCGACTTTCCCCGTTTCAACTGGAAAACAGGAAAATTTTCCTGGAAAAAAGGTAGGAAGCTTGTAAAACTTGGGAGAGCGGTAGATACGATAGGGAAGGAAAATTTAAGGTGGTTGCGCTGACACCGCCACTTCATACGATGCTGTACCCTGATTCTGGGAAGTTGACTCGACAACGCGTTTCGACGTCAAATCAAATAGATCATGGAAGCCTACGTCCTGCAACGCTAATTTCACGCTATTATCCCAGGAATTCAGTAGCCAGTGAATCGCTTCAACTTCTGAGGATAACCGTCTGTATGCCACTGTAACTTGAAAACTGCGTCTTCGATCGCCTTTCGGAGGTTGTAGAGCTTAGAACCATTAGATCATGCTGAAAGTATAACGCTAACGAAGAAAAAAAAAAACATAAGAAACCGCTGAAAATGCCCTAAGAGCGCGTTCACACTTGCGATCGCGCGATCCGATCGCGCTACTGGGATGGGTGAAATTCACACCGGGGGGGGGTCATGTTTGTTCATGTTTATTGTTCATGTTTATTGTGTTTATTTGAGAACAGGAACAATAAACATGAACAAACATGACCCCCTCCCCCGGTGTGAATTTCACCCATCCCAGTAGCGCGATCGGATCGCGCGATCGCGAAGTCTGAACGCGCTCTAAGACCTCGTGTACGGGACTGAAAATTTACGAGTTAATCGATTTGGGCGAGTTCTATGAATGTAGTGGCCGCTTGCTGCGACTCATAAGATTTGCAAGGATCACCACTAACGAATTTAAATAATAAAAAATGATCGAAGTGGAACTTTCTGACCCCGCTTTTGGACGGGAGTCAGCCTATCGTTGCTGAACTGTCGCGCTTTTATCAGGTGCTTATGAGCCACGAAAGTGGGATATCCTCTGTCACCGTAAGCTCCAACATCGTGTACTCTGAAGGATTGGCACATTCCAGATTTTCACGTCGGATAAGTGGCTCACCCACCCCTGAGTTCCCTCCCCAAAGGCCCGTTTCCTTACGTTTTTGCACGTTTCAATACTCCGACAGCCGCTGTCCTCTATCTTTCTGGGGCACAGGGTTCAGTACAAGACCACGCACAGAAATCCAAGATGTCACGTAACCTTCATCCGAAGGTAGTGCCAGAATTAGGTTACGACCAAACTAACCATCGAATGCTGCTCAAGTGACATGTTGAGTCAACTAGAGAAAAATGGCGAATTGCATGCTATGCCGCGATTTGGATTTTCTAAACTACACCCAATTCGTAATGCGAATTCGAACAAAATTTCCACAACCCTACTTCCTCATCAGTAGACAACCTGATTCCAACGAAGGAATCAAGCTTTCGTCGGAGCTTCCTTGCCGGATTTTTTTTGAGGTTTTTTCAACGCCAAGAAGTGAAAACAAGAGTTGAGCGTTCTAGCTGGACCGCGCACACAAACAGAACAACACAGTTCCATGTACTGAACGTTGACACCTACTTTCACTCCATAACACGTAACACAAATATGATTTAGAAATTTATTGTGGCTCATAATAAAAACAATAATAAATAATACGATAGTGATATAAATCTCGTTTCAATTTACACTTCAGGGTAAGGATTTAACGTATCCAAGATCAATGATGCTCTTGCGATGGCGCTAATTGGACGACAGTGCCAGGGTGCACGATGCTACTTGGGCGGTTAGCGGCATCGGACCTTTTCTGACGCTGGCGCTTACCAACGCTCCAGTTAAACCACACAATCATCGTGAGACATTATCAACAACAACAATATAATAACTATGAAAATGGCTAGCGTGTGGTTACAGCCTAGTTGAAGATGAGAGAGATAGAGACCACCGAAGACATGCACTCGTGAACGCATCTACCACAACAACGACGAATAAGGAGAGGGATGGATAAGGGGAGAGGGGTGGGAAGGGCATGAGAAGGTGAAGGAGGAGTATTAAAACACATTGCAGCTTATTCTACTTGACTTTTACGGTACTACGCAGATGAATGATGAAAGTGATTTGAGCAAGCGTTATGAGTCTAAACTCACACACGCAATGCGACGCAAGCCTAATGCGTGCGTGCGTTGAACTCACGCTATAATCAATCGACAGTTATGATAATAATGGAAGAAAATAATATACACGCGAGCACACGAGAGACGACAAAATAGAGGGCGGGAGTGAAAAACATGGATACATTCGTGAATAGGTGATGACAAAGCACCTGACCTTCACACCTACTATTACTACATCAAATACATATGAAGGGAATAGAGCAAGAAAAATTGAATACACGAGGGGAAAAATGTGATTAAACGACATATACTGACGTACATATAGATGCTTTGCAACCTGTGCACACGACCGCGCCCAAAGAAAGGATGATGAAAAGAGTAAAATGCATGTTTGTAGTAGCTCAACTAGAAATGATGAACGAGAAGTAAATTAAAAGCATATGCACATCGTTCACATGCATACAAATCATAATAAAAATCATTTAATACACAACGTAACAAATACACCTCGCAATGATGTCAAACCGAAAGCTGCCTAAATGTATGAGCGAATTCTTGATTCTTCGGGGGACACTTCTGTTATGGGACCAGAAAGAGGGAACGAACGAATGGATTAATAATGATGAGTTATAGCAAAACGATGACAACCAATCAGTAATACTACGCCGGAGGTACATGTGGACAAACATCGAATTGGACCCGGCGGACCCTCAAAATGAGAACAACATTACGAACACACGCACACACGCACTAGAAGTTTGCTTTTATACACGTAACCCTTATAATACAGACAATGATGGACGATGGGTAGATGAGGTGGACATGACAGACGCTATATGCGTCACGACAATGATGACGACGGAGGACGAAGATTCAGAAGCAGAATATGAGAACGACAACAACATAATGCTCTAACGGGCAACAGACGACTGGCGTCTGTGCCTCTCTATATCACAGTACTGATACGAGTAGTTGCTCTAATGGATCACCATGACTGGAAAGGCTAGCTCGTCTTCCTCTTTATGATGAAGGAAATACGAGGAGATACACGTACTTGGCAGGATAACGACGATGAAAACGATAGTTGAGACTACTACGGTTAAATCTGCGATTTTACGTCTACATGTCACCGGAATTGCCCTGACTGGTCCGGTTGACCGGCCTGTTGGGGTGGCAACATCGGTGACGAACCCATACCCATTGATGGTGATCGGCCCTGCAAATAAATTGTTTTGTTTTGTATTCCATGCAATTAATTGGCTAGAGAAAGTTAAAGATAAGATGACTGGCTAAGATACAAATCATATTCGTTATTCGTTAAGAGTATTCTCCAAGTTGGCATAGCAATATAAACAGAATTCGTTAGAGTGATTTCTAAGGACTGACAGTAGGCCACTGGCAATTCGACACTTTAAGAATCTATCAGTAGGACCGCGTTCATAGTTCGCTACTCGAGTGATCCCGAAATCGCGCTACAAAGACTGTGTGCGTTTCACTGCTCATGGTTGGCCCAATGTAGCCGCTAATAGGACCATATTCAGGGTAGAACTCCTTTCAGACGTTCTAGCTGTCCATCGATCAGGTGCAGTGAGGCGGATCATAATCGCGCATTTTGGAAATTGCACGTGTCGTCAAGTATGAACGCGGCCTAATCACTGCCAGCACGGCTGCTGTATTCGGACTGTCTGCCCTAAGCGCAGTCAATAAGGGTGGACTCCAAGGTACCAGTACGATATAGAAGCGATACTGTAGAAAACCCCTGCTTACCTGACCGACGCCAAAATGTTGACCGGAAATCGCCGGCGATTGGCCTTGTTGTTGCCGTTGTTGATGGTACTGCTGTTGTTGTTGCCATCCTCCAGGTCCCATCGGGGCAAACTGGTTACCAGATCCTCGAACACCTCCTTGAGGAGGCGGACCGCCATAGTAGCCGGGTTGTGGACCACCCGGCCCCATGCTTGATGGCCAGCTACCTCCTACCATCTGTAATGAGAAATTTAGCTTAGAAACACCACCTGAAATAAAAAAGACTTATGATTCTCCGCTCACCTCACTGTTAGGTTTCATCTTGATGAACGCAGCAAATAGATGCGGCGTCTTCTTCAGCTCTTGGAAAGCCGACTGTTTCTCCTCGTCCGTCTTAGCCATCTTGAATCGATTCACCACCTGCGCCATGGCTGGATCCGTGAGTGCAGGATTGCCTTGCTGTTGTTGTGGAGGTGGTTGTTGTTGTTGTTGCTGCATCGGTGCTCCGCCGCCTTCTGAAAATAAGATTTTTCAGCGATCCAAACTGGTCGAGACGAAAATTGTTTGAAAAGGTACGATAAAGTTTATTTCCGACACCAGCTGTCGAAAACCAGAACTTACGGTTTCTCATCTGACCCATACCAGGATGCATTGACATGCCCGGCTGCATCATTGACGGTGTATTAAAGCCGACCATCGGCGTTGGTGCTCTGAAATGGTTCACCAATAGGTATAAATTGACACAGGTTTATAGGAAATTCAGGAACATTTCACTTACCTATACGGTGGTCACAGGTTTAATAGCGAAATTCAGGAACATTTCACTTACCTATACGGTGGTGGTGGCTGTCCTCCTGCGCCTCGTCCGCCAGGTGGCATCGGCTGGCCGCCTGGATGTTGTCCTGGGCGCATACCTCCCATCATAGCCATTTGTTGCTGTTGTTGTTGTTGCTGCTGCTGTTGCTTGCTGATGTTGCATCGTGCTGTACATGTTTGATGGACCCATGGGTCCTCCCATTCCGCCACCACCCATGCCTTGTCCCATTTGAGACATGCCGCTCGGTGGTTGTTGCTGTTGTTGCTGTGGTGGCATCATTCCTGATGCTGAAAATGTCATAAATTTACACTAAATAAGGACTGAGAGATGTCCAACGCCAGTAAATGACTTACACATAAATCCTCCTCGCTGCTGTTGTTGAGGTTGTCCAGCTTGCGGATGTGATGACATCGACGACATCGTCGGTACTTGAGTCAGCGGGCTTGGACCAGGAATACCTCCCTGAATATCACATGATTAATAAACGTGTTTTTACACAGTGAAACGACACAGGAATCCATTCATATTTGTGTAAGGAAAGGGATACTGATTGCTCACCTTCATGTGAGTTCCAGCGAACGGCTTGTTATCCGGAGGTGGAGTCGGTACTGATGTTCCTCCCGCAACGCTAACAGCCGAAGAGCTGGACGAAGCTGGTCCTGAAAATGATTCCATATAGTGGGAAAGAGAAGTATTCACGAAATCATGGCATGTACACTGGACAAGCGTCGCTTCTTGTCCTCTGAAAGTAGCCAAAATAAGCCCATATTGGTCCGGACGGCAAGTTACAGTCATGATCCCAGCAAACGATAAGGCGTGTGACGGAGTGTGGATTGTAGCGCTGCCAAGGCGCCTTATGCTTACGCCCCCTCCCCCCTCTAATGGAAGGAGCAATAGGGGTGAGAAGACCGACATACTTGAATTAGGGAGCGATATATTTTCTATGAAATGCTGCTTGTCCCTGTTCCTACACAGCATCGAATTATCTACAGATGTGGCCTCCATACTTAAAGTTCTCCAAGTTCTCCATTTTTACTCCACTTTCAACATCATGACTTGGATAAATGGCACTGCTGTCCTCCCCCCCCCCCCCCCCCCACCATCAGGAAGTTCTCTCCGAAGATTTTTTTCTCAGAAACAACTGCTAAACCATGCGATGCCGAAATGCGCCTCCTTCGCTCACCTCCCGCAACAGCCTGTAGACCATCGATACGTCTTCGCATCATCATATCGGCACGTCTGGCGATCGAACGCTTCTGCTCGGCTAATTTTTGGCGGATGTTCATACAGAACGGTACCTGAACAGATCAGAATAATTTTGTCGGAGAAAAAAAGAGCACTTCATGACTTTGTGAAGACTTACCGAACAAGAATCTCGAGAACAATGCTTTGCATGATAGCAGCACAAGGCGATGAGCTGCTTGCACACTGGACAACTGGCATTCACTCGCTTCTTGCACATCTTCGTGTGTTGTACGACTCGCTTCATCTTGTGACAAGACACACGACGACAATTCGCATCCCTGCACTGGCACGCGTGTACCAGTGACAATATGCAGCGCTGAAAACAGAACGATAGAAATTCCCCGATGATAAGAACTCCTGAAATTATCAGGAAATCAGAGGGCCATTTCTACTCACTTGAATGCTCTCGAAGCGATTGTTGCCGCTGGAATCGCCACTTTCTGCGCCAATAAGAGGTTTGATCTGCTCCATTGGGTGTTCGTGTGAGACGGATTCGCGACATGTCTCGCAAAGATCAAAGTCCTGAAGAAATATCTATACCGGTTAACATCTAGAGGCCCACCTCCATGACCACTTATGAATTTCAAAGTGTAACAAAACGATCCCAAAATTTAAATAATAGAGATATGCGGAAACAGTATGTAGAAGGAACTCGATAACTTACATCACAAGTGGTACAGTGCCACTTAGCATTCGAGCTGTTGCACTTGTTGCAGGTGTAACTCATGTCCTTGTTCACATCAGATTCATGAAGTGCGTGACACAAAGCGAGAGTTGAGAATCTGAAACAACGGAGATATCTCTCACAGAAAGTTATTCGAAGGGGCTGTCGCAGGCCATTGATAAGCTGATGAGACACACCTCCCAGACACTGGCATCTCTGCCCCAAAAAGATGGGACCGAACAAACTGAGGACCTTGGTTGTACGTGCCTTGCGTAAGGGTATTGAGCGTACGCTTTCAACGCGTGCCCGCGAAATACTAAGGCAGCGTTCAGACTTCGCGACGGCAGCTGCTTTCCACCGCATTGATCGCGTGTTTGCGCGATCAATGCGGTAGAAAGCATGCGCAAAGATCGCGCCGAACGCACGACCGAAGCGCTGCCGTGGCGAAGTCTGAACGCTGCCGTACAACTACCCGCGAAACGCTTAAACGCTAAATCGATATCTGTACTTTCCAAGTCTTTCGAAACGCCACCGTACGCTCAAAACATTAGATCGATATCTGTGCTTTCCTATCGCTTAAAACGCTCACGCAGAGTATGAAGACGATCCTGCAGTGTTCCCCCTCCTTTCTTTGACCATGTCGTCCTCAAGCTCTATTGGTGCTATAATATTTGGGGGGGGGGCGGCGAGTGATGACTCATCGGCTTTCTGCTCCCTCCTCGGCAAAATAGAAGTAATTTCATGTTTAGGGCATGAATATAACACCGTCCTAGCTATATTCAAAAGTTAAAACAGTTAACGCTGAAAAATGCGAAGAAGCAGTTGTAGGTTGGAAGATTCTTGCCTAAACTACAAAAGATTGCTGCCTGTTTGTTGTTGACTGTTATTGTTGACTAAAAAAGTTCAGACATTTGTTTTCAGCTTCTGTGGGATTTCTCAGCAAGTTCCCGGTGAATCTTGTTTGTTTTATTCTAATTTATCTGCTAGATTCGCGCTTCAAGTATGCCGATGAGTGAAGAGCCATCACGCGCCGTGAGCACACCCCCCCCCCCCAAATACGTGAGCACCGCTCTATTCAGAGGTGCGCTATTCCATGTTCGGAGCTTTGCAGTTCTCCCATTTTTTTCGTTTATTGCTCGCCTTTCAAATGGTTAATAGACTGACGTACCCCGAGTCACTTAGAGACAGACTGTATGATTAGCCTATAGCTGTATCCTTTCCTATATGGCAGTCGAGCAGGTCCGAAGCTTAGTATATAAGCAAATTTCCCATCTAGAAGGTGCGCGAAAATAAAGCTGGGTGGCTTTAAAAGTGGAACGCACTTCACGTCGAGTATTATTATACACAGGGCAGGGCACATTAACTCCTTGCAGGATTTTCCTGCTAAATACGACATTCCCCCTTTCCCCTGGTACGACCCCCTTCACAACCTATTCACCACCACACTGAAGCTCATCAAATTTATCGAAATCTGGCTGTCAAACGGGAGCAAGAGGCAAAGCGGGTCCGTAACACAAGAAATCATCTGTTCCAGAAATGTTTTTCAGAGCAAATACCACCGCTTGCCCCAACAGCCAAATATGACCACTCCACTTTCACTTGCGGCGATTTAGGCGAAAGTGAAACAGTTTCACATTCACGGACCCGTCACCTTGCACATGGGAATAATCAACCAACCCCTCCCAATCGTACGGTACGCCTTCAAACACCCAGTGAATGTAACAGCTTATTTTGTGTACTACAGTCCGCGATCACGTTACTCTATTTCCGATAAAGTTGTTCTATGACCTTGAACGAAACCCTGTTTGAGAAAACTTCACTCCTACCATCATAACTGCGCAGCTAACCAAATACTGTTATTAACAAAACTACTCACTTTGCCCTCCTCAAAGAGCTGAACTCCCAATGTTCATCCCGAGCTCTCGTTAGGAACGTATCTCTGCCGTCCATCATGTCAGATGCCATAAGTGGATCGGGATCGACAATTTCGGGCAGAGACAAGGCTGATTGTTGTGTGACTAGCCGAATGGTGAAGAACACCTGAAAAATATTAATATTTGATTAGTGTATCGAGGACCACACCGGTCACAGAAAACTGCCTGGCATTGCTGTAGGACGTTATGCTGTGAGCGCAGCTCAACGGGAAAATTGCTTTCTATAACGGGCTAACCATGCTATTTCTTGCACTCGTCTATGCCCTCACGGCAAGACAGTATCATGCCGTGTGGTTTAACATGTACTAATCGGGGTAACGTCACTGGAAACATACAACAGTGACGGAAATACTGCTGGCGGCAGTAAGAACAGCAGACTTTCCTCCCTAGGGAATGTCGCGCACATCATTTCGTTCGCCATCAGGGCGCGTCCTGGCGGAGAATCTCAGAAAAAGCAAATGTGTGCACCCACGATATGATGTAAAAAATATCGCTGGGCAATACCGAAATCCACTTTCTGTACAGGAAACTAGCACACAGCCCTTTGTGATCTCTCACAAAAGAACAGTCGACCTATTGCTCCCACCCCCTCCCCACCTCTCCCGCGAATATTCGTTTTGCTCCGTTAGAAGAGCCGACAACTAGCAACAAATTCAGGTTGCCCTTAACCGTAGAATACATCCCCCAGGCCCTCAAAAACATTTCGACCCATTCTATTCAAGACAATTACCGTCATCATGCATAACTTTATTCGAGATAATAAATTTGAGCTTGATGGGTTGCCAGAGCCTATTAAAATGACTGCTACCAGTACTGCTGACCGGAGCTCATTTCCTACAACCTATTACTCTGTACTACTGATAGGGTTGGGATGTCCACGAAGGCAGGCCGCTTCTTTGAGCTAATTCAAAAGTTTATGAAATTTGGTTAAGCCCCACCTTAATAACGATCACTTACTTTTCCTTAAGGCGAATTCTACTTCTCCTTAAGGCATGTTCCTAATAAGATGGTATGCGACAAGACAATGCCGCGCCCGACACGCGAGTTGTCCTAAGCTTTCGTACGAATTTGTTAAAGGGATGGAAAATTTTGAAACCGCCTGTCGTGGAGTCCTATGTGCGCTTGTAATCATATGAGCTTCGCTGCTCTGATCCTGACTGATGCACATCGCGTATTTGCCACACGACACGTCGCGGCAAATTACGATTGTTTTCTCCGCCTCCCCTAACAGGGCTACAGCGCGATAGAGGACAGATCCATCCACTCACCTCTTTGTGCTTCTCAAACTGTGAGTAAAGCTTGTCTGCCACTTCATTGCCGGTCGAGCTGCCTTGTTTCTTCTTATTCATCTTCGAATTCTTTTTCAGATTATTTTTCTTGTTCTTGGAGCTGAAAAGACGGATCTTTCATTCATATTTTAGTACTTGACCCCATTTTTCGGGACCAACACTGTTCTAAAGAGTGAGTCTATGATAATCCCATTACTACTCGTAACTCTTTCAGCCTCACAAACCCGTACCTCTTTTTCTTGCCATTGTCACCCGACTGAAATATGTCATCGTCCTCTTCGTCTGCTTCTGCAACCTCTTTACGACGTTGAGCCTCTTCATTTCCAGCCTCTCTGAAACGGGGAGACTCATGCTATTCCATTCACATTCTGCACTGCTTCATTGCGTATGTGATCCTACCGTATACAGTCTTCAATAACGTTTGGCCAGAAATCGCCTTCGAAGTATGGCAAACTCATCGGCGTGGTCAAATTATCATCGCGAGCCTAGAACTTTGCATTTAGAAACAGAATAGGATTCAAACTTAGTTTCGCCTCTAAAGATGAACTCACCTGTTTGTAGATATCCTTGAATTCGACTACAGTCTTCTCGGTAACACCTTTCTCTAACAATTTTTTGTACCAGTCCTTAAAAGCGAAGTATTAGTTCCACGTCAATTGGTAAAAACTAAAACTGTCTAACAATAATCAAGACCACCAACCTGCAATCTCTTAGGCTTTGGAATTTTCTGTTCGGGAGGGTGGCAGTGGAAGATATAGTCATCACCTTCTGACGGAGGACATGCCCAAATATGGGCCATTGTGTATCCTAACCGCTTTACGTAGCTGGAATTAGTCAGATATTGTAAAAGTCATAAACCCACACAAGAAACAATCACTGGAACAAAACAACAACGGAAGCTTACTCAAGATATCCCAATAGAATCTCATGGTAGACCTCCGTTCTCAACTCTCTTGGCTGGAAAAAGTGCACCGAATCCAAGTATGCGATGTAGACCCTCCTGAAAGCACAAATTCAATAAATCGGCCTTTTCTCCATAAGAGAATCGTTGCTCCTCACCTCGCATTCGGCTCTTTGCAGTTACTGCCGTATTCTTGAACATGAAGCCCAAAGAAGCACACCTCTACGCCGTCAATCATCTCAAACGCGAACACGGCTTTCGTTCGATAGTTGAACCGATCCGGGAAGCCTTGAGGGCCATATCTGAACGAATCAAGCATAGATTCCCTTGAAATTTGCGGAGCATAGATTCCATGCCCAAACGGAACTTATCAATGAAATTCAGACTCACTTAGACTTCATCAACGGCTTCACTTCAACCTCCTTATCCTGGACGCATAGCGTTCTAATGATCACTTCATACTGCTCAGGATTGTTGGGGAGAGCCTTTTTCAAGAAGGTATTTACCTGCAACAATGAATTTCGCTCCAGCACCATGAAATTCATAAACCTAACAAAAGCACGCCAAAATGGGAACAACTGAATGCATCACTTACTCGATCCTCCAAGAACTGTGACAGCTTGTTGTGCGGTAATCGTTTCGCCATGAACCGATTCTCTGGCTTAGGATAGCTCTTCTCCTTGCGACAAGTGTCACAAATGAATCCCTCAGGAAATACCTAAAATTACAAATTCACTACCGCTACTCAGTCATTGAAAGTACATCTTCAATACTAATGTTAACACATTTTTAACTTTCAACACAACAGAGTTTCTGTACTACGCCTTCAGCATGAATGAGTGAGAAAGGGAAAAGATGAAGAGAGGCACAGATAGGACAGTTAAGCCCAATTTCGGGATTTCGCCAACTTCTGAGGCGTTTTAGAGGGAAGTGGGGAAAAAAGCGCTATCGACTGCTCAGATAGAAAGGTTCTTCTTTCATTGGTTTTGGAAGTATCGATTCGATTTCTGAAGAGTATTGATGTCGCGCAGCTTTCAAAGTGTATTGAAAGTGAGTGCAGGAACACGAGAGCGACAGTGATAGAGAGAAAGACCTCCCTAAAGACCAGTACAGCACCTCTACAAAAGACATCTTTGTGAACGTAAAGCGGGTAAAATAATGTTAGTATGGCCCCACGGAGAGACTCCACCAATGCATTGGCCCAAAACCTTATGGCTCGAGCACTAAGTGTGTTGACTTAGACTACTAGCAAATGCCGATAACACAAACATTACGCAACGTTGCGTAATATAGCGCAAGAACTGGCGCCAAAACTTCCGCAGGGAAATTCCTTTTGGGATCACGTACGCATTGCGCTTAGACGATCTTTCAGTGAAGCAAGCTTCAAAACACCGCTACTTGATCATAACACGACCTAGAACTCACTTTCTTGTCGTAAAGGGCACAAATTCGATGCCATTTTCGATGACAGTATTTGCAGACTTCGAACGGTTCATAGTCGATCACGTTGTTCTTCATTTGTACAAATTTGTCCTTTGGAGCCATGTTTGACTGATCGTTAGGATTTTCCGACAACGAAATGCCTTCTGGCGGCAATGCATCGAAACATTTGAGACAGTATGTGTAGCGTTCTGATACCGTCACTCCATATTGTGAGGATGTTTGTTCATAACTGAAATAGAACAAAATTCGGAACAAAACAATGACAGCGAATAGCTACAACGCTAAAAACCTTTCCCACTCATCACTTCCGTCTTTTTCCCCCGCACTAAGAACTTTTCTTTCAGTTGCCTCATTATGACAGCCGCTGTTACGCCTCAGTTCGCGCTACGAAAGTGTCACACGAATGCTTATGGGCAAAGTTTTAACCCCCCGGTGGCGCTCGAACTGCACTTGATGACTTGCGAGTGAGCGTGAGGTGCGGGTTAAGATTGAGACTACTGCCTATAACGTTCTCGTGATAATTTTCTTCCAGTGCTCCCACGGAGAAGCAAGAAGCCCCATGCTGCACTACGTCTAGGTGAGGATCCCAAAATATTCTTTGACTACGAAGTACCACGCTCCTTTCCTTTTCTCTTCTCCAGCTATCTTCCCCCTCCCCCTCCCTTCCACCCTTTATCGGTTCAGCCGGACGATAGGACAAGAAAAAGCCTTAGAGCTCCACCGGAGTTCTGAAGCTTTTTTGTCTTGACTTTTTCTTGTCTTTTGACAAAAGCTTTGCATCTCCGAGCTTAAACATTTAATTCCTTCCACAAAACTTTTCCCTTGAAACTCGAAGTTGAACTATTTAGCTTTCCACATGTCTCCCATTTCGAGCCACACTGAACACTTGTTCCTTATCTTCCGCATGTCATAAGGTCCACTGAATGCACTACCCAAGGATCTTTTTTTCACAAATCGAAACAATAAGCCCGATTTTTTGACCGTCCTGAGTCATATATATTTTACAATTCGAACTTTGTTATTACAAAACAAAAACTTACACCCAGTATGGCTGTTCCCGAGCTATCGTACACATCGACGCACCATAACAGAATAAGGCTAACGGAGTAAATGACAATTTTCTTGAACAACAATAACCCATTTGTTGCATGACTTGATCCATTTCCGTGACGAACATCTCGCTCAACTAAAAAAATAGTTTTTGATTCTTCCTGCTCAGTGGGTATCTATACTACACGTCCTCTTATTAGGTGACAAACCAAAGTACGCCCTTTATAAGACTAGCTACGGAGAACAAGCAGAGTAAACCCGGAAGTTATCAATACACTAGCTTTCGTTCCCCAAAAGTCATAAAGCCTGGCGCAGCAATTAAAAAACTGTAGGGACCGATTCCAATGTAGCCTTAGCACACTCTTTCGATTCATTTATTCTACCCTTACTTCCAACGATGCCTGTTGCTTTCCATGGACATAGAATTTTAAAAGATAGAGATCATTTACGCAGTACGACACTTACCTTTGTGCAATATTTGTACACTTTGCTATTTTTTCGGTTGTACATCCATGCGTTATCAAACATCAACCACATATCATCACAAAACTCCCATGGATTCTTATAGCGACCGTTGTCTAACTTCATACAGATTGTCGACAAATCCATGGGATGCTTTATTATTTCATTATAATCCTAAAATTGATCCACATTATTTGAATGAAGATCTGTAGAATAGACCTAAATATTGGCACTGTGTTAAACATGTAACTCACCGGGATATGCAGTAAGTCAGGATCCACTGGCATTCGGAACGGTACCGCATCTTCGGAGCAATCCATCTTTTCCCAAACTGGTCGTAAATAATGCCTAAAAGTATGAAGAATCAGCAAGGTAGCAAACTATTTATGGGCCTAGCAGTATAAAAATCCACTCCGTTGTTTGTCCCATCAAAACGTCCACTTCGCTGGAATATTTAGGCGAGGTCAAATGGTACTCACCGCAGCTCGTTTGCATCGAAAATAGTGTCTTCTCCAGGGGGAGGCGTGGGTTCTCTTTTTACGACTTCCTTCTTAGGAGATGAAGTCGATTCAGTTTTCACAGCTGGAGCGGATTTTGCCGAAGTAGTCGAGACTGATGCCGTGGCGCCAGTAGATGGACCAGGAGCAGCTAAACGGTTTAGCATAAGTAAAGAGATTTATTGACGTTTGTGAAGGTCCCATGGACCTTCCCGGTTGCCATTTCATAAATGCAGAACGGCAAAATTCAGGATCGATTGGTTGACCCACCTGAGCATCCTTCTTCGACTTTCACCTTCGAGTCCGATCTCACCAACGTAGGAGGCAAGCCATTTGTTGATGACACACTTGTTGACGAGGATAGCGGACCATTCTGTTCATTGGAGTCCATAGCCTCCATCTTCACCTGTAAAACACCATTCTAGGAATTCTCAAACCGTAGCAATATCGTGGAACACTGACCAAAGGCGTTCCAGCTGCCGATCCATGGCTGCTGTTTGACTGCTGTGCACCCATTCGCTCTTGTGAACGTTGTTGCTGAAGTCGCGAATCAGCTGCTGACGCCGGTGCCGACAACGGACCACTTCCTGTAGCACCTGTCCAACCCATATTATGCTGTTGATGCGACTGCTGAGAATGCGAAGCTTGCTGCTGTTGAGTCTGAAGGCCCGGCGGAAGTGGAGTTGAACCAGCAGTTCGATTTGGTGGATTTGGCATATCCATATCGAAGTCAGGAATTGAGCTCATAGCTGTAATCATAAGTATAATAGTAAGTCATTCTCAAACCCTCTGATATAAAACCTGAAGGCACAAAAACATACATTCCGAATAGCCACTGTTTGGAGCTGGCTGCGCTTGTCCAGCAGGTACACTTGCTCCAGACTGCTGCTGTCCTCCTGCTCCCGCTGCTGCTGCTGCATTAGCTCCGCTATCGGCACGAAGCCGTGAGTTCTTCTTGTCCTGGAGGTCCTTTTGAATCTTATAGATCTTTTCCGCCAATAGGTGATAGTATTCTTCCTGAAAGCCGAAAAATCATGACAGTTACGAGGATTCTGTGAAAAACCAGGAAAAAAACCGTTCCTCAAAATATAAGTTCACTTTCACAACTACAAAGGAATTAGCAGCGGTCTGTAAGCGGACGAAAACAAAGTACACATGTGGGCAGTCAGTGCGCATAATCTCCATATGCTCTATAGCGCCTAACTTTCATATGCTTTAGGGCACGTACTGTGATCAAAACGGTGGGAAATGGCGCTAAAATATTGATTACAGCTTTAGCTGATTCAAGTCTGAAGAAAATCAGAAACACCAATTCTTCGATAGGAAATCCTGTCGATTAGAGCTTATATGAGAGAAAACCAAGAGAAGGAGTGTTTTAGCAAACTCTCCGTTCCAGTTTGCTGGTATCATAACTATAAGTTAATCAACGAACAACGCATCACCAGAAAGCTTTCAGAAATAAACGTTGGGTGTGGCCTAGGATAACGGGTATAGCATCACTTTCGTCGCGAACGAGTAGGGTCGTTATCACGTGCTTGCAAGCCACGAAAATGACACATTCTCTATGCTTGCAGAAATACCTTATCCAAGGAACAAGAAATATTTCGCAGTCCTTGAACCTCTGGACCGCTGCAGGAAATCTCTCTTTTCATAAGGCTTCGCAAACTTGAGAAACTAAGCCGAGCGCGCAGAGTACGTTATTACCAATTCCTTAGACTGCAATCACAAGCCTATAATGCGGCAAACGAACCCTTCACGTCAAATACTGCTCTAACAAGGTACATTATTACAGTACTCCTATAATACAAATAAACTTATCACATTTCTCACTAGAACGTGATCCCAATACAGGTCAGCCGTCCAATACTCATTTTCAACTCCTTGAAAAAAAAGAAAATGAGAAAACCGGTCCACCCACACTACAACTCATTCTCGGTCCAGGCAAAATCCTCAACCCCGGGGCACTATATGCCGCGCAACACAGAACAAGTCGAAAAAATGGCGCGAAGGTCGTAAGACGCGAATTGACCATTAGTGACGTGTTAGAAGATGTCTGGTGAAGTCGTGACATGTCCTTAACATGCAATTTTGAGAAACGCGCTTTCGGCTGACGCCACTGGCTTATCTGGGTGGTATCTGGGTGGCCTTCAAATAACGCCTTGGAACTAACTATAATTCTTTTTTTTCTATTATCACATATGTGACGACACCTGGGATCATCCTGAACCTAGAAATGATCTTCTAGTGCTACTGCCTTGTTTTCTGTGTCAAAGGTATGATCTACACCGCAGGCTTCCACCTCCAGATAGAAAAGATCATCGGATGTATAAAATGACAGTAATAGTACTACCCCCACCCGCTCCCCGCCCCAATTCCTTCCTTCAAAGCGAACTCTTCATCGATATGGAGTGTTCTCCAACACATCAATCCATGAAATGCGATAGGCAAGGCTGTATACTTCATTTGAACGCAGCGCAGGCCGCAGAAATTTTCAATTTGCTATCTTTTCTTCCGTTAGATCAAAACAAACAATCAAGACATGATCATTGTCTCAGAATGAAACATCCTACCAGAAGGGCAACCATTCCCGAATTTTTGCGAGAGGGGGTAGACTTTTTCAATTTACTACCGGAATTAGTGGTTTTCCCTCCATCAACTGAAGGATAGGGGACACGCAGGGAACGGGATAATTCCAAAATCAGAAAAATGTCCACTGGGGTCAAATAGGAGGCCAGTGATTAAATGCGACCTCTTGATGGGATTCGCAAGCATATAATATTTGCTGATCGCAGACAATAGAAACTTTACGATTATTGCTACTTTCTCGTTCCTATTTGTCTTTGGATTTACTATTACACTCGAATTTGCAGGAACCACTAGGCACAGCAACTTACCCGGTCATTGGCTGACTCAAACATTTCCATTTCGACTTTCCGAGCATAGTTGATTAGGTCACGGATTCTTTGGTCGTGTATCGCGTTTGGATCCGGTGACGGGAAAATCGCTTTTACCAACTTCCCAACAAGATGGTTGCGAAGATCACGAGTGACGTGCTGATGCCACTCCTAAAAGTCAAAGTATTCGACAGGTCAGGACCATTATGAATCGTTGCTTCAAGTAGAAATCTAATGACGGCTTTTCTGTTCTCACTTTTTACTAAATGACTGAATGTCGTAGGATCATAGTCATCAATTGGCACCTATTTTCCTATCAATCTTCTTACTCAGATTCACTTGTTTTGAGAGCAAGAGCCTGTCTTTACCTTTGCATGACTTGGTACATCAGGAGGTGGGAAGTTGATCGTTGAGAAGTCACCAGGTGCTCGAGCCATCATACCATGATGACCTCCAGAAGCTGCACCAACTGAACCAGGACCGGCATGCTTGTTGGGTGGATTTGGTGAGCGGAATGGATCGCTAAATCACAATGATAAGTGTAACCAACTCGTCGAAAAGCAGGTAATAAGCCATACTTCATGGGTGGATTATAGTCGTTCAACAATCCCGCAGCAGACATAGGGCCACTAGGTGGACCAGAAACGGTGCTACTTGGTGGTGCTGAGCTACCCGCAGCTGCAGCCGCTGCTGCTGCTCCGGCGTTAGATGCCGGTGCAGGCGAGCCAAACTGTGCCATTGGGTCAACGGATTGTGGACCTCCTGTTCCGACACCTCCGGCCGATCCTGGTGCTCCAACCGATCCAGGACCAAGAAGTTGGCTCATGTCTTGTAGTGCTAAACGAAACTCTTTTATCCACCAATTCACAATGGGGAACAAGCGGTAAAACCATATAAGGATGATAAACTCTGACATAGCTCACTTCCAGCGGCGGAAGGTTGATTCTGAATACTCTTCAAGGGTTTACATACGGGACAATCATCTCTATTACAATTCTTCCAATGGGCTATGATCTGCCGTGACGAAGCACAATGTGCATCTGCAATAAAGAATACAATATTTTTTTTCAGTTCGAGACGAATAAAAGAAAGTAACTTACAGGTGCATTGTCGTCCATTGTGGCATATAGTCATGTGTTGTAGGACCTCCTTCATTGTACTGCAATGCGGCAGATTGCACGGTGTTCGTCCGTTTGCAGCTTCAGCGGGATTCTGAAATATTCGCACACTAGGAGGTTATTTACATTTACTTTACCAATTTTTTTGAGTACTGGAACAATCTGCGCTTGACAGCAGTCTTCAGAAGCTGACTCTTTTCTATGGTTACTCGAAGGGCCGCTGCAAGATCGAACATGTAACCAACGGTTACCTATGTTAGTCGTATAGATCTACTTCCTATTTTCTAGCGATTAATTTAACAATTAACGTTTGCATGAACCACCGGTCTTACTGGTTTGCCCACTTTAAAGACGCGCCCCGCCTACAAAAATGGTGAGATTTGCGACGCCAACGCCAAGGTGGAAAACAATACATAAATGAAGAAAGAATTAGAAAAAGCCCATCCGTAATGCCCTACACAGAACCCTATACTGAACCGCTTTGTAAGTGCATAAGGCGAAGAGAAGGCGAAGAGAAGGCGCGACTAGACGAGTTTTCGCTTGATGGTATTAACTCGTTTTTCTTTACCACCTCGTTCTCACTAATAGAAATGGAGGGAGTTAGTAAGTGAACAACTGCACCACCGAGAAGCCTTTAAAAATGAATGTGGGCGTCGTTGTGGCTGGCCAAAGGGCGGGACAGTGCTTTCATCGCGAGCGGAACACGGTTTCCTCCTGTATTTTTTAGGTGTGAAGCACATGCTTCACCTTCGCGAGTAGGACTACCATATTCAAAGAAGGGGTCAAAATGAAATCAATGCGGGTGGGCTTTCATACCTTTGATTCGAACAATTAAGGACTTAGCTTCGAACTTATGTTATGATCATAGTACTTCAAAATAATCCCAAAAGCTGACTGCAGCTCTGATATATGTGCAATAGCGTTGAAAGAACAGGATTTCACATCTCACTTGAAATATGATAAATACGCCAGCCCACTTTTGTCCAGGATAACTCAAGCTCTGGGACACATTTCAGAACGATGAATTTCAATGTCCAAGCCTCCTGTGAATCTGATTTTAATGGCTTTGATTTCAGAGGGCATAGATTTTGTTGAAATGAAAGTGAAGTTGACCATGCGACCGTACGCGCGGGGAAAGACCTCTTTCATCATTCCTTGCATTCCTTATGCGAAACTCAAAGATACGAGTTTACGAGCCACAAAGATGTGCACTCTGGGGACAAGAAGCAGAGGAAGTGGATCATATAACATAGAACGGAGAAGACCAGATAACTGCAGCATACCAAGTAACCTCCAATTTCATAGCGCCCCTTACGCCTTCTTATGGGAAGAATACTATCAGAATATTAGAATGAAGCTTGGGAGCCCATAAGATGGCTTCAAACTTCTCTGATCAATTGTCGCGACAGCCATTATTTTTCTAGCATTTTATCTATCAACATCGGATATGAAACATCCAATAGCGACAGAAGTCACTACCAATCGGAACAGTGAGCAGGTAATGACAGGACTAATTTCTCGAGACTGAACTGCACCACGAAACTCATAGCACTTGCTTGGATTAGAAATAATGATGCCATATGTAGACATCGCCCCTTTATGGCAGATGTCCACTCAGCACAAACATTCTCTATTGACAGGTGAATTTCGTGCCTACGTGACATTTCTCAACTACTTTCACTCTCCACGCGGAAGTTGATATGTCCTTAGAAAAACCCAAAAACAACAAGTCATGATACATTTGTAAAAGGAACTACAGCGGAGGGCCAAATATGATTTTTCTTTTCTCACCCTTTGCCACCAAACAATTCCCAGCAATGTACACCTTTGGTTCTATGTCTGCAAAAGGATAAAAAAATAAAGTCTTCGCCGTTGATCAATCCCTTTGTGGGATGCGGCACGCATTCTACTTCCATTCAGAATCGTAGTGGCTTATTGAATGCGATGTGGCCTATACAATGACTTGCGGTGGCCAGCCGATGTACAAGTCAGTGTTTATCCTCCCAGACGAATCTGGTACCAATTTACCGTCCCCGGGTGGTAGAAGGCTTGGTTGGCCTATGTCTGCACTGAAGCAATTTCGTTATCCATCACCATATGACAAGGATAACACCGTTTTCGTAACTTTACATTTTACCAGGCGATACCCTTAAGTTCATACTTTGCTAGCTTACGCCGCGCGTTCCACAGTGCGAAACACACAAGCTTAAATGGCATCTACAGCAAATGTTGTTCAGATTGCCAGACATAAACAGAGGTTTCACCCTTCAATTACTCTTAACATCCAAATGCAGAGACTTCGGGAAAGGTATGGCTCCGAGAATTGGACCTGGAGCGCAACACAAGAGGGATGGGGAAGCGCTCTCAATGCTAAAGACGTTGAATTTAACCATAAACTTACTCTTTCTCGTTGCTGGCACTTGTGGGCATGCAAAAGTAGAACAAGTTGTTGCTGGATGAGTTTCCGCTTCTCAGGATCTTGAGTGCCAGGGGTCAACGGTGTGCCTCCGGTCCGTTGAGGTGGTTGCGATACCGGCGCGCCTTGCATCGAATGTGGATGTTGCTGTTGACCAGAGGGTGGTCCACCGTTGGGCATCTGCATCTGCATACCCTAAACAACAAAAAAGTTTAGTCGCCGGCTTCCCAGGTGAAGTACAGAAACCACTCTTCATACCTGAGGTGGCTGTGATGGAGCAGTAGCACCTGGAGGACGATTGCTCATTTGATGAGGACCATTCGATTGTGACGGATCCATCATCATTATCTGAAACAGCTAATGAGGATGTGTACGAAAAAGTGTTCTTTGATTAACATTCTTACCGGTGGCCCTTGGGGTGGACCAGGATGCCCAGGCATCATTCCAGGATAAGGCTGTCGGTTCATAAAGCCCTAAAAAATAAATGCTTGCATGCTCAACTAAGGTGCTATAAACTCGCAATAAAGTGAGCTCGAAGTATCCTGAAAAAAAGTCAAAATTCCCAATTTCCTACCTGAGGCGGTGGACCACCCATAAACTGCTCCGGCCTTTGACCTTGAAAAGGTGCATTCGGATTAAAAGGTTGCTCCATCATGCCGGGATGTCGCATCATACCAGGCATCATTTGAGGCATACCTGGAAAACATTGAGTGTGTATGAGATAGGGGAGAAAGTAGCTGCAATAAGGGCCTCTCGGATCACACGTTTATTACCTGGTCGGCCAGGAGGAGCCATTTGTGGCGGTCGTTGCATATGTGCTCCATTCATCATACCACCTCTAGGAATGGCTTGCCCTCGACCCTGTCCCGGATATGGTATCTAAATTCATCAATATGACACACAGTTGAACTCACGTGAAAAGAAAAACCATTGTCCTGAAGAAGGTAAAAAAGCAGCTCGAAAAGAAATGGAGCTCACTTGATTAGGAGCACTCTGTGGTGCATACTGCCCAGGGTAACCACGCATTTGGCCCTGGGGTCCACCCGTCATCATCGGCTGACCATATTGCGTTTGCTGAGGCATTTGCATGCCGTCGTACATCACAGGAGGACCTTGCCCTAAAGTTCAACATCAACGACTAGCATGCGAAACTGACCATATAATGTAAACACACATTATCTGACAGTTTCTAACTATATACCTGGTGCTCGCATCGGGCCTCCAGGAGGACCACCTGGAGGACCTCCGGGAGAGGGTCCGGGGCCGCCCGCCCCTCGCCCTGCTCCTGCCATGTTGGCATTTGGAGGAGACATCATTGTGGCACCAGTCATCGGACTCCTGGAAAAAAATAGTGATAGAAAAACCCGTACAAATATGAAACTTATTTGGCAAACCAAAGGCAAACACAAGAATTTCAAATGTCCCACCTAGTATTGAAACTGTTTGCAGTAGGTGCTCCAGAAAACGCAGGCCGTGGTGAATTATTCGCAGCAGGACCTTGCGTCTGGGTCATTAATAGCTCCTAAAGCACTAATTTTCAAGCAACGTAGCTTTCCAATGAGAATCAGGAAAGCCAAGCTTGAAAAGCAGAAGTGTTTTTTGAAATAAAATTTGTACAGCACCTGTAAAACTGATTGTTGTTGACCGCCACTTTGTGACTGTTGTCCACCCGCTTGTCCTCCGCCGGCTTGGCCGTACCCGGCCGGTGCCATAGGAGCAGTCATAGATGACTGCGATGTGGTCTAAGAGTTTGGAACTAATTAGAATGTGTAATCAAAACTGTTCCAATGAGGACTCAAACAAATTATGAACCGCAATTTCAAAAAAAGCACTTCAATTATTAGCGACTCACCGGTATATCACCTCCGATATGTGCCGACTGGGGTAATGGTTCTAACTTTTCAAGCTCACTAAGTCCATCCAATCCATCCCCAGATTCAAAATCTGAGCAAGGCACTAGAACATAACATTAAGGTGGCTTCGAAAAAGATGAAACCTAAGCAATTGAAACTGACCAGAATCGACTTTTAACTTCTTGCACGCTGGCTCGTCCATGGCGTCGAGTGAGCCGTGGATTGGCGGGCGTGCGCACGCTTCACAATCCGAGAGCTTTAGCAGCTACTCCGGTAATTTAACTAGTCAAAGTTTGTTGTTGTAGCAGAAGAATTCAAGACGAGACGCACAATGCTGGCATGCAGCTTGACCGTCCGCCTTTCGCTACCTTCTTGTCTTCTACGCGATGCGCTAAAGAGAAATTTCAGTGAATGCGTTTGCTTCCACGAAGAAAATCGCGAAACGAATGGATGAAAAAAAACTGGGTTATCAGATCATAACTAGACTGAAGAAAACTATGTCTGTGGATGGGTTATATCCGGTGGAAAAAAAAGCGAAGAAGCTTCAGATTTTCCTCTGAAGACGCTGTAACAAAAATTCACGGAAGAAACGAGCTCACTCCAAAAAAACTTATTTATGGAAATATCGAAACGGGAAATCTCCAAAATTCCCAGAGCTAGCAAAAAAGTTATCACCCAGTACATGAGGAGTCGCAAGGTCTCCTACAGGCCTTGCCACTCATCATGTATGGCTGTACACACCAAACTAAGAAAAGTGAAAAGTTCCAACACTCAAGACATTCATACGGAAGTGTACTAGGAATTCGAAAAAAGGAATAAAATGCGAAAAGTCGAAAATGTCACCAATGCAAACAAAGAAACTATAACTGAAAAATGAAAAAGCGAATAAACTAATCCGATCTTGAAATAGTGTTCAGAAGCAGCTATGAAATTCTTATGTTCACAAGAATGATAAAGTACATATATGCATCGAACTTAAGAAACAATAACACGCGTGTTCGGCTTTCTCGGCACGCGCTCAGCATTATTTATAGAAAACAGGGTTAGAAATAGTTTTGTTGAAAAAAGGCTTGGAACCGAAACAATTTCAACTGAAAACGCGTGCCAGTTCCAAAGATCAAAACTGACCAACATAGTGACCATCAAGTTGATCTGAACGCTAAGAAAAGCATGCCGAATCTTTTCTAGTACGCCGAGATGAACACCTAGACATCGCTCGAATGCATGATACGCAGACAGCTCCCAAGTAGAGACAGTGAGAGGTTCGTGGAGTGTGCAGACGCACCCATCGGCGAAACGCTGCGATGGTCATTGCAACGGAGTCAGCATGGCTGCCGAGCTCGTGCTATAGGAAGCACGACTCCGCCTCGGCGTAAACTACGGTAGATAGGACCAGCAATAGCGCGACGCAAGCCGCCTCGCTGTCGAGGCAACTGAGTGCCAGAGAGGAGGAATCATGTAGTAGGAATAAGTAGATCAAACGATATGATTCTATAGAACTAATGGCAATTACAAGGAAGAAGTCGTTGTGGACATAAGACTTAAAGAAAAAACTCAATAGTAAGCGCATCATCAACTGAGTAATTACACTTGCAACGCGTACGGTAGAAGGCAGTAAAAATCACGTAGAGCTCAACTACAAAGTGCGGTAACGACTCCATTTATGCGAGCTCAAGGTGCTGCAATAACAACAAAGAAGGTAGGACTGTACCGTGCGATAATAATCCTCAAACTCACTGGAAACCTTTTCATGAACATCAACAAAAATCTGCAAAATAACCGATAAAAACGCCTTAGTAAGAACTGCACAACCCTTTCAAGGCTCTTCCTTAGCTGGACAAAGGAGAAAACTGTGAAAAACCTTGTACGCATACGTGAAAGTTCACGACGCCTCGCGGTGCACGAATGATCACGCGCGAACGTACGGCATGTCCCGAGAAAAAACGTTAACGTGACGAAAGTGATTTATGAACGCCGGCGGACCATCACAACCATGTTCATCGTTGTGACAACGATGCTCATGGTGAGAAACACCAGCACGGCCGGCTCAGCGTGTCCTCAAGATTGTAATAACGCGCCGGTGGGGGCGGGGCGAGCAGATGCCCGCACCATCAGCACGATGCGCGCTGTTAGCGCTCACGCTCACCAAAATGTGCCACAGCTGGTACTTCTACTGTTCCTGCTTATACCTGTTCATGTACTATCAATTAATAGGTCTGTTCAATGTACAACAGATCCGCCCCCATTCCAAACATTTTCTTCCACCGCTGCAATCGTTAGGGTGCACCAGAGTTACCTCAATGCTGACTTTTTTATATTACAGATTCCCCTCCATCTTTTATTCCTGTGGAGGCCTAATCATCGTGGAAGTCCAAGATGATGACCGCTATTTCAACTGTACTGTATTCTATACTGTGTGTACTGTATCCGATTCTATGCAACAATACCTCGAGCTGTCACAGACCGTAAGTTGTTCAAGTTGTCTTGCCTTTGTACGGAGTTCGTGGACTTAATCCCCATGAAGGAATCGAATCCCACAACAAACCCTTTACATTCGCGCGCGGGTAGAATGGCTTCGGCATGAGTCCTGGGTTCAGTTGGGTTTTTTTCAGAAGCACTATGAAAGAAGTATCATAAAGAACTTCGGATTTAACCCCACCTCCTCTATATAATTCATCAGAAGTCGCGACAAGATTTCAACTGACAAGGGCCAGTGCCAGATGTCTTAACTACTTTACCTAAGCGGCGTAAAGAAGTGGGAACAATGCACCCAATGCATCATCCAGAGTAATAATCACCGATCAGCGCGTATTTAGATCACAAGCGATGTTCCTAGACATGGGGACTGAAGCCCTCACTCCTTCACCGGCCTCTCAATATCACGGTTTCTGATAGTTTGGTTATTGATAGGTCTCGCCGACACCCCCCCCCCCTCCACCCTCGTTCCGCTCAACGAACGTTGGGAGTCGTGTCAATAGGGAAGGCGGAGGGCGTATTAAGGGGTATTTCTATTCCGATATTTTCTGTATTAGCTCAATACAGCATAATATTCCAAAGGTCAGAACAAAGTGTGCTCATTTCAATAATCAGATCTCCCATTTCAACACTACTGTTTGATGGCTGCCTTATGAAAAAAAGGAAGTAAAGTATATTTTCAAGTAGCTCTCTAATCCAATAATCCGCTGACAAACAGCTGATTATAACACTTAGGAACTTTGAATAATCATCGCAACGCAGTGTGTACCATGAAGCTATAGCCAGAAAGGATTCTCCCCGGTGCAGGTCGGTAATTTGCTCAACCGAAGGAAAGACCACCGCAAAACTGAACGTGTTTTTGAATTATTTTATGTAAAGTGTGCAGTTGAAAAAGTACGCGTTCCAAATTAGAAAACATTATGCTGAGGGTACTATTCCTCAGGTCCTTCTTTGAACTCCGAAAAGCGGAAAGCATAGGATAAGGGGAAAGCATTAGTGATAATTTCTTGCCGATCATTCCTTTTTTGGGTGCGGCACACATTCTAGTTCACTCAGAGTCCTAGTGGCTTAGTGAACGCGATGCGGGTCTACACAATGGCCTGCAGGGCTAGCTGATGTACAAGGCAGCACTCTTATACTCCCAGACGAACTTGGTGCCAATTAGTCCGCGAGGTGGGAGGCTTAGTTGACCTAGGCAGAAGCCGAGCCGGTCATGGATTTGACCTCCGGACCGTGAGCCTGGTAAGAGAGCCGCTTGCCACCACAGCACCTCTGCCTCCGAAGAGCTTCGGTGATTCAATTTTTCACTAAGGACTATTATAGCGAGGACTAGAATAAACCTACATCACATAGGTACGAGGAAACAATCAAAACCAACAATCAGATCGCCACGTGACTGCTCATCAAAACAGGTGCTGCTATCGTAGACACGTGGACTTGCTAACTAATGCGCACTTTCATATAAACAACAAACAGCATGCATTTTTTTTCCACAAAATGCTGCTTAATTTCAGTCTTGTTTGGAAGAATACACAACAAAAGGAGCAAAAATCAAAGTACGGAGTGGAGTACTGCTGAAACTTGCTCTGAGGAAATCGCAGGACGTCAGAAGACTAGTGCAGGAGACGATTTACAAAGTAGGAAGTCTATCAGTGTAAGCGAGTTCAATAATTGCAAGGCAAAATTTAGTGGCGTTATAATGAGATGTCATTTGCTTCTTAAGTTGGATATAAGCTTTATAGAGGGACAACACCCCCAAGATACGAGTGCTGATGAATTACTGAACACCCCACCATTTTACTAATCTCAATACTTCATAGCAACAAGTGAGCCAGGGGATCTTTTTTGCATTGCTGTGA